AATCAAATGTTATAGAATAGAATAGAATGGGATGGAATGGAATGGAACTGAATGGAACAGAACAGAACAGAACAGAATTTTTGCAAAAGTAAATCGTGTTTAGTTAAGGTAAGCATTGTTTCAATGTATGGGTATAAAGTGCATTTCTCACTGTGGGTTTTCGCCAAAATGAGCTTGAGAAAGATTGGTTTCCGCGAATCCTTTGGCCTGGAATAATGAGCTCTCTGGCCCTCTCCCATGGATTTTCAAAGCCCTTTCTTAAGACCTACCTCCTTCAAGAAGTCTTCACGTGACCCTCATTGCTATGGGCTGCCACTTCTGCCAGTTCGAACTTGCTTTCACTGAAGGGTAATTTCATCCAGCAGTTCTGAGGACATTGAGTACATCTCTGGCTTTGGGTTCCGGTTTTCCTAGCTACGTTTCTGCTTTGTTTCCGCAGCCCAGCCCCCATTTTGTGCTTTGCCTCTTGTAACAGATTTTATAGAGCCCCCGGGCTCAGCATGGGTTGGGGGGCCGTTCTTGGGGCACTGGTGAGTGTGTGGGGGGCTTCTTCCTGCCCACCTCGTGGTGGTCACGTTAAGGATGGTCCTTGTCTTCCGCCCCTAGAATGAGCCCTGAGATATCCATCCATTCCTTGTTTCCTTTTTCTATCATTCAATACACATTCCAGTCATTCTTGTTATTTGTGAACATGGAATTATCGAATACCGAATTATTGCCCCAGGGGGAAAACAGAGTTAGGTTTCTTCGAGCCTCTAGTCACACTATTTTCGTCAACCTAATATAATCTTATTTATTTGCATTTTCGTTTAAAGACATCATATTTGATAGAGATCATTGATTCATTAACATTGAACTTACATTTGACAAAAATAACACACGCCTGAGGGAAAGTCCCCTAACGCGTGTTTTCTCCGTAAGGCCCGTCACGGCCTTCCTGCTCTGAGGGACACTGGACAGCACCTCAGCACTGTGCTTGGGCCCTGCTTTCAACCATGAAGTCACCAGGAAAAATAAAGCACAAAAATGTAAAAAATGTGGCACTGAATAGACCGGGAAAAGGACCTCTGTTTACAGTATGAGGGCTGAAACGAGAACGTGTGCCACCTGGTTCGGCCTCAGCCGGGAACGTGTACATAGGCAAGTTGCATTTTTCACTGCCCTGAGCATGTCCGTGGGTGATTGTGAAAGCGCGTTGCTTTGGGAATTACAAATAAATTTTAGCCAGTAGAATTTACAAATGTGGAATCTGTGAACGGGGGATCCACTGCGTATCGTCTGTTTGCCAAGCACCCAGGGTGAGGGGTTACAGCTAGGCCTAAGCACTGAAGACAGGCGTAGGCCCTGCCCTCCGAGAGCCTAGAGACCAGTGTGGGTGACGAAACACCAGTCAGAAGCAAACGAGAACCTCTATCGTTTCAACCATGGCAAGGGCCATGAGGGAAGTGGCAGGGCTCAGGGAAGAGAGTGAGAGGGATGTGGGTGGTTGGAAAGGACCTCTCGGAAACCGTAGGTGCGAGAAGGAGCCAGCCGCATGTCGAGCACCGTGCGAAGAAAGTCTCAGGCTGTGGGCACAGTGCATGCACAGGCCCCGAGATAGGAAGAAGCCCGGAGTCTCAATTGTCGAGTTTTCCATCTGTCGGTAAGTCCTTTTGGCCCTATCTTCCTAATATATCCAGAAGTGATCACTTCTCACGGCCTCCCTGTACCACCCTGCCTCACGGAACCCAAAGAGGTTGGCGTGGCGGCAGCACAGAAGGGAAGGAGGAAGGTGGCCTGAGACGTCGCCAGGGGACAGATGACGCAGGACCTGTGAGTCCTGAAAAAGAGTTTGGCTGCAGTCGAAATGCTACGGGAAGCTGTATGTGCGTAGGCTTTAATGAGGGAGTGCTGAGATGTGATTCATGTTCTGAGACCAGGTCCTCCTGAGAAGAGGAAGCACCAGAGGGCAGGAAGGGCAGAAGCAGGGGGTCCCCGACCCCCGGGCCATGGACCGGTACCAGTCCGTGCCCTGTTAGGACCCGGGACGCACAGCAAGGGGTGAGTGGCGGGAGAGCCGTTGAAGCGTCATCCTTATTTGCGGCCATTTTTTTTCAGGCGAGGCAACCCTTGGTTGACCTCACAGATTGCAAAGACCTTGTCAACTCACAATCCCTTATGTTTAATTTTTATTTATTTTTATTTTCTTTTTCCCCAGCGCTAGCATCACCGCCTCAGCTCCACCTCAGATCATCAGGCTCTAGGTTCTCATAGGAGCACCGGTCCCTGGTGCCAAAAAGGTTGGGGCCTGCTGGGCAGAAGTGAGTTCTCCTCTGATTTTTCTCGCAGTCTGCGCCTGGGGTGCTGGTAATGGAGATGGAAAGAAATAGGTTGATCTGGGAGGTGTTTAGGAGGCAGAATCACAGGACTGCCGATGGCTGAGAGGTGGCCAGGGAGGTGGTCATTGAGCTCTGGGTCCTTGAGCTCTGCCTCTCAGGCTTAGCTTTTCCTGTCGTTTGTCCTGAGCGAACCTGTCTCGTTTCCTCATCCTCATTCTTCCAGGCCTGGCCTTCACTACTCCCCGTACCTTCTGAGCCCACTTCCTGATGCTTGAGTTTGAACCCCATTTATATTTGTCGTCTTTGCCTCTTTCCTGCTCTTGTCCCGCGTTGCTCAGTTCTATAGAAGCTTCTGTGTGTGTCTGATCCCTCCAGGTGAACTGATGCTCTAGCGAGTCCTTTCCTTCTATGTCCTCCATCGCCTCTGACGACGCCCATGTTTGCATCTCCTACCTGGACCCCGAACTCCGACCCCCAAATTCGTGTCTCCAGCTGACCACTCAATGCCTTTGTTGGAACACCCAACAGGCCTCTCGTCCAAGATTGAGCCCCCAACGTGCTCCCCACAAACAGGCCCTCCCCGTAATCTTCTTGGTTGATGACAACTTTATTCTCATTATTCAGGCCTAAAAGCTTGGAGCGATTCTTGATTCCTCTCTCATGCCCAATATCCATTTCTTTTTTATTTTTTTTGCAAGTCCGTTGGGCTCTGCCTTCCAAATGCGTCTGGAATCTGACCGCTTCTCGTCATCTCCCTGTCCCAGCCTGCTTCAAGCCACCACTGTCTGTCACTTTGACATTTGCAATAGCCTCAGATAGAGTCTTTCAGATCCTTCTCGTCTCTGAGGTCACGTGGTGCTGCTTCTGCTCTCCCTAACTCCACCCCCACCTGCTGAGTCCTTAGACTCCCCTGCATGTCCCGGTCAGGCTTCTGGGCTGCTGTTCCCGTCCCCCACTGATATGCTCAGCTGGCTCATCCCGTGTCTCCTTGAGTCTTCACTCAAATTCCCCTTCTCAGTGAGGCCTTTCCTGCTCGCCTGAATGAAAATCGCAAATAACTCCCGTTCCCTACCCGCCCCGCACCTTCCTGATCCATTTTTCCCCATTAGCACTGACAACCCTCTACTATTCCATGTATTTTTTATTTATTTTGTGTATTGTCTATCTATTCTTTCTAGAATGTAAACTCCACGAAGGTAAGAGTTTTGGTTCATTTTGTCACTGTGGTGTCCCCAGCTCCTGGACAGCTGCATGGGCAACCTGAGCAGTTGCACTGGACCTTGTGCTCAGAGGGCCCTATGCTTGGTTTCATGATCTGCTGTCGCTGTTTAAAATCCTTAATGACTGCCAGGCACATCGTAGGCACTCAACGAATAACTTGTTGGATGCTGAATGTGGAGCTGGCAAAGCAGACGCGATATTAATGGTTGCCGATTAATCGACTGACTGGAGGGAGAGCCGATCATTCATTCCGATTCATTCATTCATTCATTCATTCATTCCCTGCGTCATTCCACAAATATTTATTTGAAGAGACTGGGATTAAGATTTTTGCTCACTGATTGTGAGCCCCGTTGTATCATACTCACACTCCATAGACTTGAGATATTTTAAGAATCATGACATCCTGTGATGTAAGTATGACAGTTCCCATTTTCAGATGAGGAGACTGAAAAGTTAAGTAATCACCTAGTCTTGGGCTGGTGAATGCCTTAGCGGGCCGTGCCATGCTGCCCCCCAGCCGCGTTACAGGGTGTCCCCGGTACCCTCGGCCTCCTCCTTCAGGGTTGCTCCCCATTCATGGGCTACCCTTCCCAGACTCGGCCTCTGCCCACCTGTGCTCTCTGTCCTTTATGACTTATTGTGGATTAATCTATGTCACCTCTCCCAGGTGCAGTTGTGTTTTTGAGTCATCCATAACTGAGGACTGACAGGCAGTGCTCCACAGAGAAGGGCCTCAGGAAGCAAGGCTGGAGGCCCTGGGATGAGGCCCCAAAATCACCCCATGTCGCTCTCACCAAATCTGTTTACCCATCAGGCCAGGCCGCAGATGTAGCATGGAAAAATAGTCCCAGCTTTTGGCACAGATCTAGAAAGCTCTGAAATCTTAGGGAAATCATTTGAGTAATACCTTTTATAGGAAAGAAGAGAAAATGAAAGTAGCTAATCATAGGATGAGGCAATGGGGGGGGCTGGTGATTCAGTTAGAGGTTGCCGTCTGCATCCTCTGGCACTTAAAAGCTATGAATGGGGACCAGCCCTGAGTTACAAATTATGCAAAAAAACCAAACAAACAATGCTATAGGAGCCAGATGAAAAGATGGCAGTTCTAAGTATTTGATGTTGACATTTGTCTTTGTGGTTTCACTTGAAAATGGGGTGTGCCTGTGAGTCTCAGAAATTATTAAACTCTAAGAATCGAAATTACAAATATAAGAAATATATATAAGAATATAATATGTAATATGATAATAAATAATAATGTATATACAACATATATCATATCTATAAAACGAATGCAAGTAATAATAGATATATAACATATGAATATAACATACGAAATAAGAAATAAATATAAGAAATATAAGCATTGAGATTATACTGTGAGCTTGCTTTTTGTAGTCAGACTTATCTTCCCTACTGAATTAGCTGGCGAGTAGAGGAAACTGAACCCAACCCTACTTAGGATAAAGGAGGTTTTATTTGTTTGTTTGTTTGTTTATTGCTTCTATCGTTAGAAGAGGCAGATGGGGTGGGCTCAGGGACGGATGAGGTCGGAATCTCTCCACCTCTCCTCTGTCATTGTAGCTTGGCTCTCTTGGGCATCATCGGTTCCTGTCGGGCTGAAGACTATGCTCTCCCGCCAGGAGAATGCCCAGCCTCAGCCCCGGCCTCCATGGCTTGATGCCCAGCGGGGCAGAGGGAGCTTCTCTTTCCCCCAGCAGGGACATGTGAAATCGTAGATGAGCTGGATGGCAATGCTTGATCACGTGCTCCTCCTCAGGTGGGCGGGAGGGATAGGGTACCGTGACTGGCCATGTCACCACCACCTCCTCAAGAGGCAAAGCACTGTGACCCAGCCCCCCGACCTACATTGTCTTGGGGAGAAGTAGCTCCCCAAAGGAACGGGGAAAGGAAACAGCTTTCAGCATAATCTTGGCTTCTTTTTCCATATTGTTAACAGGAGGCATTCTGTCTCTGAGACTGACACAATGCACAGTTTTATAAAGAGTGTTTTATAAGCTCTTTCTCTTAGCTGTTTCCAGATTCCAGGTGGTTTGTGTTCCAGGCAAAAGACCTGAGGGAAGAAAAAACCCCCACTCTGAAGATCAACTCATTTCTTATTTTGGGATCAGTTGATAAAAGGCAGGCTCTGGAGTCAGACAATCCTAAATTTGAATCCTGCGTCTGCTGCGCAGTACAGGGTCTTGGGAACATGGCTTAGCTTCTGTTGGCCTGACTTTCCTACCTGCAAAGTGAAGATAAAATGACACCCCTCTTAGTTTTAGGATAAAAATTAGATAATAGGTATTACGAAATAGCACAGAGGGTGGGCAGATGTTCTTAAAATCAGGCCCTTTAAAAAATTGCTTTTTATTTTTCAGTTAGAGTTGACATCAATATTGTACTCATTTCAGGTGTAGAGCTTAGTGGTTAGACTTATATGTAACTTACAAAGTGATTCTCCGATAAGTCTGGCACCCACCTGACACCATGCATATTACAACATTGTTGACTATGTTCCTTATTCAGCAGACGTTCTCTTATTTACCTTTTCCTTCAAGGACCAACTGGGTAATTCTTTACCCCTCCAGGAGCCTTGGAAAAGCAAAATATGACAGCCTACCGTGACATTCTACATACCCTTTTAAAATCAAGTGCCACATTCATTATACAGAAATAGTCCACCCAAGTCTTTTTCTTTTCCATTGGACTGCAGGTACCCTGAGATCCAGGGCCACGTGTTCCCTGTTTTTAAGTCCCCAGTGTCAGATTCAATGCCTGGAACACAAAAGAAATAGAATCAACGTGGAGCTGCTGAATGACTGAATCACTGGCTAGAGATTTTGGGGTTGACTGATTTATCGTCCCTTTAGAAACCACATTGTGCGTTACACACACATGGAGCAAATGTTCAACTATTTTCTGCGCTTGTTTAACCCGGGGTACCTATTTACCTGGACCCCAAAGGAAATGTTTAGGTGAACACATCATCTTACTGGTTAGAGGCAGCATAGGGCAAAGGCGGATTTACACTGCCTGGGTTTGAATCCTTACCCCACAACCTACTGGCCTGTGGGATCTTGAGCAAGTTTCTTGATGTATTCATGCCTCAGTTTCTTCATCTTTAAAATGAGACAGAAGTGATACCAAGCACATAGGGCTACTGGGAGAATTGAGTGTGATAATGTATAAAAATCACTCATTACCTAGTATGTGCCTCACACGATACATCCTCAGGATAAAAGCTACCGCCCCAGTATATCAGACTATGATTTAGACTGTGGGAAGGGGCCTGAACTGGGGCCACAGGGCTCGCTTGGCTGTCACTGTATTTGTAGAAGTATAGGCTTAGTTGCTGTAGCAAAGAGATTCCAAGGCACAATGACTTACCAAGACAGAAGTTGATCTCTTTCCTCCGTGACAGTCCAGAGGTCATCTGTCGGTTCAGGCCTGTCGGTTCAGCTCCGTATCCTCAGCATGTGTTTGCCAGCTCTGCGCCCAAGGAGACTGTCCAGTTCTTGTCATCTCCTTCCAGCAATGAAAAGGAGTAAGGGACTAGGGGTGGGGAAAGGATTATACGTCCAATCCTTTGAGGGCAAAATCAAGATGGGACCCCCATCACTTCTGCTAATGTTACCTAGTCACGTGACCACACCTACTGCAAGGCAGGCTGGGAATGTAGTCTTTAGCCAGATGTCCATGCCGCCTGCTAAACTGTTATACTCTAGAAGGATGGAAGAACAGAAATTGGATGACAACGAGCAGTCTCCCATAGCCACTGAGGATCTCATAAAAAGAAGGGTCAGAGTGAGAGTTACTTTTCAAAAGGGCTCTTTGCCGGATTCCCGCGGGAGCGACGCATTTACAAAGCCAAACTCCTCACGAACCAGAATTTAGGAAATGATTCAGGCTCCCTGGCTGACTCACACATTGAGCATCCTGGAGAGAAAAGTAGCCATACACCCATTTGGGGTTTGGAGCTTAGTTTATAATAATAATAATGACTTTGGCACAGAAAACTTCCTGAGGGTTAATGAATGACTGGCTTGGATTAATAGCCCAAATCGCCTCCTGAAGTCTATCAACTCCATCCAGCTTCATATTAATCTACAGGAAATTCTTTGTACACCCAGCTATTACTGCTTCAACTTCACAAAATGAAAATGAATGGATGCTTCATTGGAACTTGGGAAAAAACTCGGTCACCATTGTGTGTGGCCACCAGGCTATCATTATTTTTTTTTCAGGCACATTTCCTGCATTTTACTTGGTTCTCTTTCTGGCTTCATTTTGCTGCATGGCAGAAACAGCAGCAGCAGCAGCTGGCCTCCTAGGTTAGCTCTAATTTACTTGCTATTTATAGTGCATGCCATAAAGCTCATCACACTTGTGATTCCCTATTTAAATTGTCCCCCGAACTAGACTAAGAGCTCCTTGAGGTGAGAGACACCCAGGAGTCTTCTAGTTTGGCAGAGCCTGGCCACAGCACTGCTCAGTAACTATTTGTTGAATTGAACCAAATAGCATAGCTGCTGAATTTTGAACACGTTACCATTGGTCCAGTGGATTCCTCAAAGCAAACCTGGGAATCTCTGCGTTTAGCTGGATTTAAGACCATGCACTTTTCGTTCATCAAAATTTCATGAGTTTCCCAGGAGAATAACTCCAAACAGAAAGGTAAGGATGTAGAAGTAGTTCTAGAAGATAATGTCTAACACCGCCAAACTGTCGACTTGGGAGAGAAGCGTGGGGCGTGCTGAAGTACCTGGGGATTTTCCTGGCCTGCGGGGACTCGCACTGTTTCCCTGGCCTCGGAGTTCTCTGCCAGTAGATGTCATTGATGAAATAAGCTTGTTTCCCCCGGTGAAGTCCCCTGGTTCAGGGAAGCAGAGTTTACGGATGCCTCCAAGTTTCCTCTGCCCTACTATTTAAATGCCTGTTCTTGTCTGGCATGTGGCTGGCATCTGTGAGGACTTGCCCAGTGAGAGGCCCAAGGCCTGAACAAGGATCTCACCAGTACCTTTTGTCATTGTGGCTCGGTGAGCAGAGCAGTGCCATGGTATTGGAAGGGCCCTGTCTCGTGGAGCGGCGGTCCCCAACCTTTGTGGCACCAGGGACTGCTGCTCTTATGAGAATCTAGCTCCTAGTGATCTGAGCCGGAGCTGAGGTGGTGATGCTGGTCCTGGGGAGCAGCTGCAGATACAGATGAAGCTTCATTCCTTCATCCACCGCTCACCTCCTGGTGTGCAGCCCCATCCCTGACAGACCACGGACCGGTACCGGTCTACTGCCCGGGGGTTGGGGAGCCCTGTTGTGGAGGATGTCTACTAGGACCATCAAAAATCTGGTTTGATTCCACACTGGGACCCCAAGGTGGGCTGCAGATGGCTCCCCCGCCCCCACCTCCAATCCTTTAATGAAAACAAGCAGAGCGAAGTTCCAACTAGAGAAAATTCCTAGCAACAATGAAGGTGTCGGTGGCTTTTAAACCAGGGGTGGGGAGCGAGTTCAAGAAACAGGAACCCTGACATGCCGAGGTGGGAGTGGGACCAAGGGCTCAGAAAATGCCCGTTTCCTTCTGTTGTCCATATAAGAGCTGATAAGGAGATTTTAGAGTTTTGGGGGAAGGCTTGGGAAGGAATGAGAGAGTTTAATCAACTAGAGGGAGCCTTCCAACTTATATTTCCCAGAGTTTGTTACATGCTTTGTTTGCCTAATGTGTTAGATGTGCCAAAAGCAGAAACGAAACCCCTATAATACTAAGCCCTGGCATGCTGTCATCTTCTGTCTGGCGGTCTTCGGCTTTTATTTTTCTCTCTTCAACCCAGGGCAGGAAATGGAGCTGCGAGCTCTCAGATAATACTGTGGCACCGTGTCTAAGCAGTATGCATCTAATCAGACATGCGGTTTTATATAACATAGATTATTAAAGCTAGGGGAGGTCAAAAGTTTTGTATCAAAGGGAGTAGGGTATAAACCTTGAATAGTTCAGTGACAGACAGACTTTCATGGTAAATTACTGTCTCAGAAGATGATAAAGAAACAGAGACATATTTCTTGCACTGAGAGCTTTAAAAAAGTAAGAGAAGCTTCCCTTACCCCTTCGAGTAATGATGACTCATCGGATTTTGGAATGAGTAACATATGAGCTATTTCTTAATCTCTCTGGGCCTCAGATCCCTCGTGAAGTAAAGCGAGGTAGCTTCCTACCCTATCATTCTAGGGTTTTCTGGGGGGTGCTAGGAATGAAAGAGAAAATCCAGCATGTTCCACGCGAATGAGGTCTCAAGGAAGGGCTCGACACCTGATGATGGGCTCACCTTCAAGTGTCCTTCAGGCGAGGCGCGCACTGACTCGGAGCCCTGGGTTGTGGCCCTCCCACTCATGCCCTGTTAACTAGTAGGGCTCACAAGATGGGACCTTTGCGTAAGTGGGCACATGGGAGCAACAGGGTCATCACTGAGTTTGCTGGGATCCTTTTAACATTACCGGTCCTAGTTGAGTTTTTATTTGCTGCTTCTCAATTTATCATTGGGTCGTTTGAGGAACGAATACAATTCGATGATACATTCTCTTTCTTCTTGCTAATCACACACACACACACACACACACACACACACGCACGTTTACCCATTTCGTCTGTTTCCCAACGATTACATCCTGAACTACTGCAGTCTCAGAAGCAGCATAGCTCGCCAGAAGGAATGTGAGGCTTAGAATCAAAAGGCCAGGGTATGACTTCCACTTTCATTTATTTGCTGGGTGGCTGGAGGCAAATCAGAGCAACACTCTCTGTTGACTCATTTTACTAGCTCCCTATTGCTGCTGTAATATATTACTACAGACTTGTTGGCTTAAAACAATACACATTTATTCTCCTGTATAGCAGGCCCTTGAATAACATCGTTACGTTCAATGTTGTTTCGTTATAACGTTGGTGAGCAAAAAAATTGATTCCCAGCCCGGGCCACTACCTGTGTGGGGTCTGCACCTTCTCCTCAGATGGTGTGGGTTTTCTCCAGGGACTCTGGTATCCTCCCACGTCCCAAAGATGTACACGTGAGGTGACTCAAGTGTCTCCTTTGCCCCAGTGTGACTGAGCGTGGGTGCTGGTGGCCTGGTGATGGAAGGGTGCATTGTCCAGGGTGGGTGCTGCCTTGCATGGCCGGGAAAGATTCCCGCCAGCCAAGACCCTGAGATGGGTTTTAATTCATCTTTCTTAAATGTATGTTTAGCTCATATTCATTTCGATGTTTAATATTAGAAGCGTTTCGGGTCTTTATTTAGAAGTTTGGTGACGTTTCTGTGACCCGAAAGATGCCGTAGGAAATTAACTCTTGCTTATGTCGATCAGCCTATGGTAAAATTGGTTTCGTTGTACGTCGTTTCATTTCGGGTTGCAGTTTTCAAGAACCTATCGAGAGTTTGAATGCCTTTGGGGGCACAGCGGCAAATGCCTTCTTCCTTTTCCGTGGGCGGGACCTTCGCCAGGCAGTCATGATGTTACAGAGGAAGAGAAGACACACAAAAGTCCCTTGTTTTCAAGAGGCGGCGTGGTCATGTGCTTAACAGGCTATTCAGCTGTACTTAATCCCTTTTCCCCACAAAGTTTTATTTTCCTAGGAAGTGACGAGACACCCCAGCATCCTAGGGGCAGGGGTTGGGGCCACTGCGTGCAGCCATCCTCGCTCTGGCCTCTGGGGGGAGAGTGGCCAGGGCCCAGAGGTGGAGGTGTGGTGGGAAGTCCATGAGAGCAGCCAGGAGGAGGGGGTCACAGGCCCACGGCCTCTGAGGTGGCTCCTGGTAGGAGAGGCCAAGACTTGGGCATGGCCCGGAGAGGGACTTTCCCAAGGAACGCAACGGGCCCCCAAAGGCCAGTAACGAGATGAGGAATCGTCCCTGAGCTCCTGCTCCGTGCGTCTGTGAATTCACATCGCAGGAGCCTGACACGTTCATTTGCTGAATCGCCTGAGTCAGACCGACGCTCGTTTGGTCCCTCTAAGCGAGAAATCTGAGGCCGTGATCCCACGCGGCCTCCGCAGGGCTGGCTCTCCTGGCTTTCCAGGCGATCTGGCGGACGCCCCTCCTTTGACTCCCAGCAACTCGGGGGGCGGATGAGATGTCACAGCAGAGGTCTTCCCCGACTCTCCACAGGGTCCCAGCCCGGAGAGCTCGAACGACTTCTCAGTGTGGCGTAGCACAAGTGGCCAGCCTGAGTCTACGGCTCTGTTCGTGACATGAGGACCAGGAACCTGCCTGCTTCTGACCCTCTCTTTTACAAATTTGTTCATCCTGAAGACAGTTGCTTACGTTCTGCAGAGCCATCCTGTTGAGGTACAGGGTGACCAGCCACTCTAGTTGCCCAGGACTGGGGTGCTGGTTTCCTGGGCTGTGGGATTTTCAGTTCTAAAACTGGGTATGTCCTGGCAAACTGGGACAAGTTGGTCACTGTAGGTGGCGCCTCCCAGAAGTACCCACTCACCTGTCCGGAGGGGAGGTGTGGGGAGAGCGGCCGTGTCTGGCCTGCATTCTCCGCTAGCCGCATAGCCCTTGTGTTTAGTCGGGGTTCGGTTGGGGAAACAGAAAGCCCTCTACATGTTTAAAACAGGGAATATAATGCAAGGAATTGGCATGAAAACTTAGAGGCCAAACAGGGAACAAGAAACTCAGAGATTAACCAACAGACGCCATGACCACCTGTTGGCTGCAGGGATGAAGGGAGGAGGTAGAGCTACCGGAGCCTGGGGTCATCCCTGGAAACTGAATCCACGAAAGAGATCCAGCCGCTGGCAGAGGCGTTGCTGCTGGAGCGCAGGGCGGGGGATGCACTGGTGTCTCCTTACCTCTCGCCCTCTGGTCTCCCGCCTGGAGTTTTTCCTCTCTTTTGGAAGATCCAGGGAGTGGGGACTGTAGGCAAATGCCGGGCTTATTGGCCAGGCAGGTAGACTTTACCGATGCTTGGGTTTCCTGTTCTGGGGAGATCCAGGACTTCTTCGAGCATCGGCTTCTGTGCTGACGCGTGCATTTGGAATGAATCCCTCGTGACAATCAGCTACTTCGATCGAAGAAGCTCAGTCATCAAACATTTAAGCTGAAAGGCATCTCCAAGATCATCTGCTCAGATGGGGAACAGGAACCTGGACTGCTGACGGAGGGATGGTGCTGGCAGCGTCAGGACCGGAACAGGGTCCATCTGTGGTTCAGGCTGAGGCAAGTTCCCCACAGCCTGCCTCTTCCCTTAGGACCACTGGCACGGAAGTCTGTGGTCCCCTTGCACAGGCACTGATGGAAAGAGCCAGACCTAGCCCTTCACTAGCGACAGTGGGGACATCAGCGTGCGACTCTGTCTGTAAGAGGCTAATGCCTACAATGGCCAACACTTATTGTAAGAGAAGGAAACCTTTCTCAGGAAAACGCATGGCTAGATGTTCCGATTCCACCTTTATTCAGTACAATAACAGGACAGGAACACCAAAAAAAATTCGGCGCTTTCATTTTATGAAATAGCGGGATATAGATAAATTAAAATTTTTTCCTTCCATTTTGTTCCCCAATCATATTGTATTGCTTTAATAAACTGTATCTATCGAATATGTAATATGTGTTTATTCGACAAGTGTTTTCTGCATTCCTATGGTTTAGTCATTCCGCAGCGTTTATTGGATGCTTAATCTTGAGCGAGGCGCTGTGCCAGTGGTGAGCGAGGCGGGCTGCTGGCCCTCTCTCCAAGCTTACCGGTAATCTGCGTCCCAGGCACTAGGGCGGGCACTTCATCAGCCTCTGTCTCTGCCCCCTCCTCTCCCTCCCTTCCTCGTTTCCCAAACCCCATCACCTTGGGAGATACGTGCTGTGCTATGAATAGCGAGGGGTGAGATTTATTCCACTCTGGCCAGTGTCTGCTCTTGCGGGATCTCCCGCCTCTCTGTAAAGCCCACCTCCGATCGTTTATTTATTTATATATCGCAGAAGGTGTAACTTTCTTTATTCTAGCTGATTATAACTCTTACTTTGAGCCCCCACTTTCCATGTCATTTTAGGGTTCCCATGGTTTCCCTGGGGTTATATATACCGTCCAGGGAGTTTTAAAGTGCCAAGATATGTAGAGGGGTCTGCCCAGTTCTCGCTGATGACCTTGGTCATTGGTCCACACAGTTTGCCAAGGATCTGTTCCCTACTGGAAGCTCTGTGCAGTCCATCAATTCTGTGATTCCTGTCCACACTCAGATGCACAGGACCCTGTTACTGCTTCCGCCCCACAGTGGGGGCCAAGGCCCCTTCACCTGGCAGGATTTCCCCCTCTGGGATCTGGGCACCCCTTATTAGGTGCTACCCCGGCAAAGAGGCCCAGGATGCCCCTGCTATCAGATTCGGAAAGGGGGTTTGTCTGGCAGTTGGCCTGGGGTGGGGTGTAGAGCCCTCCTCATTCTCACCTGCCGGCATCGAAGGCCCATCGCTTCCCTTCGGTCCTCTTTCTCCTCCCATTCCGAGGGAACTTTACTTAGACTGGGAGACTCGTTAACCGGGTGTTCTAAATCTATTCTCTAGGGATGATTTCAGTCCTTTCCACGTGCCTTGGAATCTCAAAAACTAGAAGATATTCTGTTATCACTTTCTTTGGCCGAGGCAGTGGGCATCGAATGCCTCAACTGCTACCTCTTAAGTTGGGAGGAATGAAGAGAGGGCCGAGAGTACAAGGAAATTGTAGGTATGACCATTATTTCTCATTTCGTTACTATTATCATGCCATCTGATATCTATCGCTATCTCTGTCTCTATCTCTATATTATATTAAAATTCTAATTAAAATTAAAATTCTAGAAAGCCTAAACATCGTGTTATAAATGATCTCTGTTGATAGATTATGAATTATGTTTTTTTTATAATTACCCATGTTTTAAAATTACACACTTTTTGGTAGATATTCTCATCCAGACCAGTGTCTTTAAATACCATATGTAATGCGCTAACACAGCTGACTCTCAAACAACATGGTTTTGATCCGCACGGGTCCACTTATCTGCAGGCTCTTTTTCAATAAACAGGGTAAATGTACTTTCCTTTATAATTTTCTTAATAACATTTCATTTTCTCTACCTTACTTTGTATTAAGAATACAGTATATAACATACAAAATACGCGTTAATCGACTGTGTATGTTATTGGCAAGGCTTCTGGTCAACAGCAGGCTGTTAGTAGTTCAGTTTTGGAGGAGTTAAAAGTTAAATGAGGATTTTTGACTGTGCAGGGGTCAGCACTCCCAACCCCCATGTCGTTCAAAGTGTCTGTAGCCTAAATCCCATCTCTGGGCTCCAATTATAGGTGCGGTGTCTCCACTTGGAAGCCTCCCAGGCATAACCGATTTAAAAGTCTAAAATGGAACTCTGGAATCTACATGCTACTCACTCCTGTCCAAAACATTTTAAAGGGCTCTGTGTCTTTCTTATCTAAGTAAAAGGCACTCCAAATCTTTCAGGTTCGATCTTTTTGAGTAATCCTTGATCTCCCTGTCTGAGACTTCCTATTCAATCCGCTTGTAGCTGAGTTTTTTCCCTGCGGAATATGAGTATCCACTCTCCTCCACGTGCACCGCCACCACCCTGCTCCAAGCCAGTGCCCTCTCCCACGTGCATTACCTTACAGATTATTTTCCCCCGCTCTGGGTGTAGTTTTATTCATTGATTACTAGGGAGCCCAGGTGATTACTAACCAATGTTGAATGAATAATCCCTGAGCTTTCTCACCCTGGGGACACTGGATAGCGTCAAGAGAGAATCAGATTTGTTGCAAACCAATGCTGATAATTATAAATGTCCTTGTGACCTTTCATTTCTGGCTCATATTTAGAAAACCAGTTTGCTTTCTCTGTCTTACTGGATAAAGAATGCCTCTGGTGACCAGTTGCCACGTGGGCTTCATTGGCCCAGCCTCAGCTGCTTGCCTGTCTCTTTGAGGCTGGCCCAAGGCTCTTCAAAATCCATTTCCCATCTGCCATGGAGCCTAAGCTTAGGCAGCTCCAAACACGCTGATGAAAATTTAGTCACTTTTCACATGAAGATATTTATCTTTCTTAAATCTCGTTCTTTCTTGCTCTTCTCGCCTTCCATCTGGGATTATTTTCCTTTTAGATACTGATCTACTGGTTGAATTTTTTTTTCCCCCAAAATGTCTGTATTTCACCTTCATTCTTGAAGGATATTTTTCATTGGTAGAGGATCTAGGTTTTTCTTTTGGTAAATTAAAGACATCATTATACAATCTTCTGGCCTTCATTGTGGCTTTTGAGAAGTCGGCTGACTGTATCTGTGGCTTCTCTAAAAGAAATCTCTTTATTCTCAGGATGCTTTTTTCTCAATCTCCCTTCCTTCCTCCCTCTCATTTCTAAGTCTCTCTCTCTCTGTCTGTCTGTCTGTCTGTCTGTCTCTGTCTCTCTCTGTCCCTGTCTCTGTCTCTTGTTCTCTCTCTCTCTCTCTCTTCTTTCTTTCTCTTTCTAAAAATAAGTCTTTCTTTTTTATTGTCCTGTTTGGGGTTCACTGGTTGCCTTGATTCCATGGATGAGTGTCCCTCATCAGTTCTAGATAATTATCTATCATTTATACTCAAATTTTTCTTTTCTGTGACTTACTGTCTTTCTAACACCTTCTGATACTTCGATTAAGTGTATATTAGGTTTACTCATTGTATATATTTTTTTCCCTCTCTTCTTTTTAATCTTGATAATTCCTTCTACTTTAGTTTTGGTACACAAATTTTCTCTTCAGCTGTGTTTAAAGTGTGGTTAAAACCATCTACTGGGTCCTTAATTTTGGCTAATGTGTTTTTCACATCTGGAAGTTAGTTTCTTTCGAGTTCTTTTTTGTATATCAACTGTGATCCTTTTTAGAGTTTCTAATTCTTTGCTAAAATTTTCAAACTTGTTATTTCTTTGAACATAGTAGTCAGAATTGTTACAGTTTGTCACTAGTAATCCAAAAATCTGAAATGTTTGTTTCTCTTTTGACTGTTGGCTCTCACTCGCAGTGTCATTTTATTTGTATGTCTGCTTGTTTTTGAATGTAGCCCAGTCTATTTATTTCTGCACCTGCCCAGATGCCCATGGCCTAACCACCGTTACATGGTGACGTGCCCTGGTCTTCCTCTCCTGCCCTGGTAGCCCTAAATCACATTCAAAGACAGCCCCCCAGCCCCAATTTGCAGAACTGTGTGAAATTACCTCATTTTGCCATCGACATAAGTTGCCTCCTGCCCGTCATCACCACTTCCTCAGTCAACCAATGCCATTCTCGCACGTTGTCCCAAAGTGCTAAGGGGCTCTCAGAAGGCCAGAGTGATTCTTCATCTTCTGAGGTTCTTGAAAACTGAGGCCACATCTGTACAAGAGTCACGAGGCAGGATCGGTGGGCGGTGGTGGCAGCGGTGGGCACCTAAGCTGCTTAGGCCAATTTTTAATATTATGGGTGAAAATAACTTCTTCCATTTTCACTTGTAATTCTCTCGCTATATTCCATGGGGACAAATTCTGGTCACAAGGATCAGAATAGACTGTAAATATAACAGCCCCACCCCTTTGATGATAGAAAGCAACATTTTTTTTTTGTTTGTTTTTTTGTTTTTGTTTTTTTTTTAGGGATGGCCACACTTGTTGGCCTAACTTTCCCTTCCTTTTAGGTGCTCAACTGAGCTGCTTGGTGCATGCGATTAGCTCGGGGGGGCTTCCCCCACCCTCTGCCACACGTGCTCAGACACTGAAGAACATGGGAGGAGGTGGAGGATTTGAATTGAGGAGAGCCATAGTATTGACTTTATAAATTACCAGAACCTGCTTCTCTCTCTCTCTCTCTCTCATCTATTTTTGGCCTAAGTGCCTTGAGGCCCTTCTCTGGGAAAGCACATGAACTCTTTGGAGTTCCCAGGTTCCATTTGGTAAATTTCCTCTAAGCCAGCTCTGAAAATCCCCACTGCCCTCTCTCTAGTCTAAGTCTGTGGTGCCTGGGGCCTGCCTGCTCTGCTTCCTGTTTCACCCCAGTGGACTGTGAGTCAGCCTGAGCTTGTGGGGGAGGGCTGGGAGGCACCCTCAGCACCCACCTTCCCGATACCAGGCACTTAATGTCTCAACCCCAGAAACTGCTCCCAGAACAGTGTACCCCTCTGTAGCCCTCTCTTGAGACCCACTCTTGGCCTCTCGGAAGGTAGATTTTATTCCCTTTCTATTGACGGGATGGGACTCCAGTATGCTACGATCATCTGAATATCTGAGGAGTCACGTCTTATACTCTCATGAAAAATACGGCAGCTCGTCACGATGAATGATGTTACTGTGAACAAAGCAGTTTTGAGTCGAAGCTCATTCCAAGAATCAGTAAATTTCCCTATTTTCCTGTATCGCCTCCCCTCCCTTGTTAAATTTAGGTTTAACAAGTCATGAATCATTGTGGTTTTACTCTTGAGTAGAATCATTTTTCTCCTGGCATCCTATCGCCAGCTGATGGAAGAATTAAAAAGTCTGATTAAACAGCAGTTTGACATGAACTTAAAATCTCAAACATTTGAAAGAAAGGATGAGCTACAACTTTTCAAAGTTGCTAGAATGTTCCAGTAGGATGGGACCTGTGGGACACCAACCTAGTTCTTCTACAGGACCAAAAAGGAAACCGGGGCCCAGAGAGGAAAGGTGGCATGCCAAAGGTCACACGGCAGGTGAGTGGTGGCGTGAGGGTCCAGGGGTCCCAACCCCAGAGCGGCAGCCTCACCGGGGGTTGGAGGAAATGGAAAATGTTTGAATTTTTATGTCATTTCAGTGCAAAGAGCTTTATTCTACAAAGATCAAGCATTGCTGTATGCCAATTGTCTTGCATTTCATAATTATTTTCCCTAAGTGCTCACGGTATTTCACATACAGGATTTCATTACTTACCTTCTCGGTCTTTGAGGCACCTGAAGGGATCTCATTGTCCAGGGTGGTAATTGCATTTATTGAGCCGAGGGTGGGCGACCTACGACAAATCAGTGCCCCTCATCCCCACGAGTCTCGGCTTCTTGTTCTGTAGGAAGGAAAGATCTGCAGTCCCGTCTCTCTCATACTGTAGATGTGAGGATGAGGGCACATTTGGGGACTCGTGCCCGGCAAGCTAAGGGGTTCCCTGGACGGCAATTCGGACACGGTCCACGAGGACTGTCCCTTTACTTCAGCATCAGTCTCTCCAGCACAAATCCTGAAAATGTGACGTTTCCACCTGAGGCGAATCTGACATCGGAGAATGACTCAAAGCTTAGAACTGTAAATTTTGATTGTTGTAGATCAAGTTTCTTTTTGAGAAATTGGATTTGTAAATTCAGAAAATTGCTAGATAACTTTTTTTTTTTCCCCCAGTTGTGGTAAAATACACACAGCATGAAGTTTATCATTTTAACCATTTCAGCGTCCAATACAGTGGCATTAAGTAAATTCTAGATCCAGAATTTTTCATCGCCTCAAACCGAAGCCTCATACCCATCAAACAGCAACTCACCATTTTCGCCCCTCCACGACTCCCGGCAAACACAAATCTGTTTTCTGTCACTGTGGATTTGCTTATTTTGGACATTTCATGTAAATGGAATTATACAATACATGCGGCTTTTTGTGTCTGTCTCCTTTCATTTAGCATAATTTTTCAAGGTTCAACAATGTTGTAGAATGTGTCAGCATTTCATTCCTTTTTTTTTTCTTTTTTTCTTCTTTTTTTGATGTCTGGTGTTATTTATTTGTTACTCTGACAAAATCTTAGCTTCTTTGTTTAGGGGCTTTCTCATAACTTATTGGCGGACATCATCTTCTTTAGAGAGATTGAAAAGTTTGCGATGGCTGCTAACTCTTTTGGGCCCCAGGTGACGAGGCACAGTAGTATCAGTGAGACCAGGAATATCTTTCTCTCCTTTTTTCATAATGACCAAGTTGAGAACACTCAGATTGGCATCCACAATGCAACCCTGAACAGATATGCCCCTTACTCAGTAGCTGGTGGTCGCGGAACCTCGTTTGTCATTTCCACCACTGATTTGAACCACATAACCCTTCCGCTCTTCACCCAGAGCGTCGGCAGCAACTTCTGTGGCCATACGCTTCTCATAAAAGACAACCCTGAACAGATGTGCCCCTTACTCAGTAGCAGGTGGACAGGGCTGTGGGTCAAGACACCCTGCTTCTTGGGGAAACCTCGTTTGTCATTTCCACCACTGATTTGAACCGCATAACCCTTCCGCTCTTCACCCAGAGCGTCGGCGGCAACTTCTGTGGCCATACGCTTCTCATAAAAGGTATGAAGTTTTCGTTCACCCTCCATTTTAATGAGCTCCTGGCAGCCAGTGGCTGGGAAAGAGATGTTCAGCTTCATCCTGAAACAGTCGACCGCCTCGAAAAAGAGCAGCATTTCCTTCTTTTTTTATGGCCGAAATGTTCCATTGTATGGACAAGCCATTTTTTGTTTACCTATCCATTCGTTGATGGACTTTGGGGTCATTGTCATCTTTTGGCTCTTGCGAATAGTGCTATTATGAACTCTCCTGTATAGATTTTTGCTCGGACACTTCCTTTCAGTTCTTTTGGGTGTACACCTAGCGGTGGAATTCATGGTCACGTGGTGATTCTACATTTAACTGCCAAACTGGTTTTCATAGTGGCTGCACCATTTTTTATTCCCGCCAGCAATCTCCTGGGTAATGTTTGATCACTTGGTTTATTAAATGCAATAACCCTCCTGAGTCAACACTGGGGCAGCCTGAGCCAGCTCGCTGCTTGCTCTCTTGTCTTTATGGCTGTGGCTGGAGGCTCTGAGAGCAGCCAGTAAGTCACCCACTGTGGTCCCTTCAGTGACTTCTTCCTTTGGGCCATGGCTACTCATTCAGGCAGGTCTTCCATAGCCACTGTAGTGACCTGGGCTGTGAGGACACTGAGACGCAGTTGACTGGAACCTCTGGGGGCAGTCATGGTGGCAGAGGACAGCTCTGGACACTTTAGGAACAGTCCCTGTGGTTCCTGGACCCGATATGAATCGAGTCCCTATTCTGTGCTGCCTCTCGCCTGGCCCTGCTGGCTGAAGAGTTAATCTGGGGGGTCTGTTCTCTCCTCATCCACATCTCCTGGCAGCTCCCTACTCGGCTGCAGTGGGCCTGCTGGTCCCTTTGGGTTTGCTCTTGTCCCAGGTACCCCTCCTTCTCCCCTCTGTGCTCCGCCCCCTTACGCTCCCAGTGTGCTGCGAGCTGGCTCTTGAAGCTCTTTGATGCCCAAAGAACAGTCCATTGTCTCTTAAGGGTGAAGAAGAGGCATCCCAGTTTATATTCAGACACATGACCATGAACCCATAACATCTCACACGAAATCCACAATAACTCATTTGTGCGCAACAAACTGGATGGAGTTATCTAAGTCAGCGCGTTGTTTACACTCGGCGTTCTAGGGTGACAGGAAGAAAGCGGGGTGAAAGCTCCCTCAGTCTGGTGGTGTGATCTTGTCTGTTTCCTCTCCTCTTCTGTGAGTATAAACCCCCCAGGAGAAGCGCGCCTCGGTCGCTGTCAGGGAGCCGGTGGGAACACGTACCTAGGAGCCCTCTCTCACATGACAGCATTTTCATCCCACGGTTGCCTTGGATGACCACAGCACGCACTGCCCTTCCTGGTGAGCTGTCCTTTGAAGAACGCCATCCGTGCCGGAAGTGGAGGCCTGGCCCAAAGCACATGCGAGACTGGGCGCCTGCCTCAGGAAGAGGTGGAGGAGACAGTAACGCCTGACGAGAATCATCTTGGATGGGGGAATGTGGCAGCAGAGTGTTTCTGGCGCCTGGATGCATTCCATTTTTGGTGTTTAGTTCTTCACAGTTATTACAGGAAATGATGTTTTCAAAAACAAAGGCGTGCCTGGCCCAGAGGCACCAGGTCATTCTATGCAAACAGATCCCATAAGCTGAGGGAAGGCCCAAAATATGCGGGTGCATGAGCGGCCCCAGGTCGGCACATGAGGCTGCATAATTTTCGCGGGCCCTTGCCTAGGACTTCTGGGGAGAGCCTGGCTGTCTGTTCAGGAATCACCCTCCAGGCCTGGTTTTTCACCTTTTCCTCACCTGTGGGGTCTGTGCTGGGCTCAGATCCCAACGTCAAAGGACACGGTGGCTAGTGCCACTCAGATCCCCAACGTGTGCTCGCCTCGTTTTCGTGTAAATCCTGTTCTCATCTCCAGACCTCCGCTACGGGCCTGGCGGGGGTCCCACACGGGACTTCACATGTGGAGTTATTAATGGGGGGAGGGGAAGGGGCATAGAGTGGAAGGGTCTGTATAATCTTCCGGTTTTACTTTTTTCTTTTCATATTCTTGTCTGGCCAACTTTATTTTCAAAACCAACGAAAAAGACAGATGTCTATTTTTTGCTCCATGGCGTGGAACTGACCTGCTTGCTAAGAAAGTGTCAGCTCCCCTCAGTTCTCAAGGTTGTCATTTGGCACTGGATTCCAGAGGCAGGAAGAGAGGAAAAGGAAATGAGAGAAACTTAGGAAGGATTCATATTTCATCTCCTCTCTCCTCAGTTCTCTGCTCTGGGCTGATGGGAAGGTAAATAAAACTAGTTTGGCTTAATGGGCCCCAGGTAGAAGATGGGGTGGCAGAGAAGTGGCTTGAGGAGAAGCCTTTTGTCTCTGAGCTTGGTCTGGCTACAGGGCCCGCCTCCCTGCTTCTGATCCTACTCACACTCCCTCAAACACACACACACGCACACGCACACATACACACACACACCACCATCATATACACAGACAGACACACACACATACCCGCCATCCCCTACACAGACATACAAGCCATGGACCCGTGCGGTTGTGTAGGCAGATCTTCCGGCAAGCTCACACTCCTAAAAGAACAGCCTGGAAAAGTATTTCCCAGGGTTCCCCTCTCCCAGCCACTAGTTTCTTATCTGGCAAATATGGCGAATCCTGGGGCAGGTATATGACACAGCTAGGGCTGTGTAACAAAGTACCACAAACTAACTGAGTGGCAGAAACCACAGAAATTGATTGTCTCACAGTTCTAGAGGCTGGATGCCCAAGATGGTGGTGTCGGCAGGATCGGTTCCTTCTGGGGGGTGTGAGGGAGGATTTGCCTCACGCTTTTCTCTCGTCCGCTGGTGTTTTGCTGGCCATCTTCGGTGTTCCTTGGCTTGTAGATGCATCACCCCGTTCTCTGCCTTCCTTGTCACATGGTGTTCTCCCTGTGTGTATATTCGAGTCCAAATTTTTCCTGTTTCTAAGGACACCAGTTGCATTGGAGTGGGGGTTCGTGCGACTCCAGCGTGACCTCATCTTTACTAGTGACATCTACAAGGACCCTGCTTCCAAACAAGGCCACATCCTGAGGTCCTAGGGCTTGGGACTTCAACATATGACTTTGGGTGACATCATTCAGCCCATCACACCAGGTGTACAGGTGCTCGCCTGCTGGGGCTCATTGACCTCTGGGGCTCTGGACTCTAGAGGGAAGACTTAGCACTTGTTGATTGTAGGCCGTGGGGACCAAACAAGATGCCCAGGATTTTGAGCAGGTTAGTTATTTTGAGCTCGGTATTCTGAGGAATGCAAAGGTCAGCCAAGACCTGTGTGTCCCTGAGCCCTCACAGAACATATGTCTGGTCATAATAAAACTTGACAATTGCCTGAGGCATCATAGCTGGCAAAGCTTTTCCGTGCTTACTATCCATTTGAGCCTCACAACTAACAACCTTGAGAGGCAGGTCTGGGAAGAACTCTTATCCTGACATTCAAAAAGAAGAAGTAACTTTTGCAAAAATCATACTGTTAGTTGAAATCCAAGCTTGAGTCCTCAGACTCTGTGCTTGGTCTCTCAGATGATGGAGCCTGGTGTGTGGGGGTGGGGTTGTTCATGGAGGTTCACCCCTGAGGGGATCCAGAAAGGCTTCATGAAGGAGGTTACACCTGAGGAAAGCCTTGACTAAAATCTGAGGGAGAAGGGAGCTTGCTAATTGAAGGTGACAGTTATGTGCAAAGGGCTATCAATTGGTAGCCTGAGCCCAGGATGCACTAAGGTAGCACAGTCCTTGCACAGAATGGAGTGACATGATTTTATGATCAGATCTGTGTCACCCATTGCTGTGGCCTGAATGTTTGTGTGCCCCTCCAAATTCACATGTTGGAATCCTAATGCCCAATGCGGTGGCATTAGGAGGTGAGGCTGTTGAGAGGTCATTAGGTCATGAGGGTGGAGCCTCATGATTGTGGTTAGTGCCCTTATGAAGGAAACCCCACAGAGCTCCCTCACCCCTTCCACCATGTGAGGACACAGCAAGAAGTCTTCAACCCCGAAGAGAGCCCACACCCAACATGCTGTCACCCCCGTCTTGAACTTCCAGCCTGCAGAACTGTGAGAAATAAATTTCCATGATTTTTAAGCCACCCAGTCTGTGGTAGTTGGTTATAGCAGCCCAAACGGACTAAGAAACCCATTGCCATCCATATCTTACCCGCTGCCCCCAGCCTTACCCCAGATCAAAAATAGACACTCTTGCATCTTTCTCTCTACTGGGGCTCAAAAACAATTCTCCTCTCAACTCTCATTTCAACAAAACTCACCCCACAGCTTTGGCATGTATCAATTAATACACATAAACCCAGAGGATGACACCAAGCTGGACTCTTAATTCCATTTTGGGCCCTCTTAGGGCACCCTCTCCTTCCCCTCACAGCTCAAACCCCTCTGGATCATAACACATCGGGGCAGGGGTCCTGCCTGCACCCCTCCAACTCTAGGAAGAAAGTGTCCTGCAGCTGTGCCTGCAGGTCAGGCCAGCTCTGCACTCATAGACCCTTCTTCCCACAGCAGAGCTGAGCCAGGCTCATCTCTGCAGGCAGCCCAGGCCACCAGCCCTCTCCGCTGCAACCCTCAACCCCCAGGCTAAGACGAGCCTTGTAGGACAGTCAGGGCCTTGGAGGCAGGAGCATGGCAGGGGAGCAGGGAGGCTGCCAACACTGGAAGAACGCGATGCTGTCCCTGGTTGCTTTCCCATGAAGTATCTTGCCCGCTTCTTCTCAGAGCTTCCTTATAGGACCGGGCGAATCCTGTCACAGCTATTTTAGAGCCGGGGGAGAGAGCCTGCATGGACTTGGCCAAGGTCCCACAGTCAGCCGGCCTCCAGTGAGGCTGAACGCAGCTCTTCTCAATTCAGGCTCAGGTCTCATTTCCCAACCTGATGCAGCCCCTGAGCAGGGGAAGCTTCTTGAGAGGTGGCACATCTGATGTCCTTGTAGAAGAACCCTCTGCGGAGGCCAGTGGATTTGCAGAAAGATAGAGCGGGGGGCGAAGAGGGGGGGGTCGGTGCTGCCAAGAGCCTTAGAATTCCCAGGAGGATGGGGGTCGGTATTTCTCACATAAGTGATTTTTCTGGGGGGAAAAGATGATGCCTACCATCCAAGCTTGGACCAGAGGTTTTGTGAATTGCATTTTGTCAGGTTCACCGAAAAAGGAACTCACAAAGCTGAAGGGGTCAAATGAGGTTTATGGTAGCAGAGTGACAGCCGGGCTGAGCTGAAGACTGCGTCGGCCCCGAATGCAAGAGGACCTGAAACGTACTTGAGGTGGGCTTTTCTGGTGGGAAGATTTTGGGCGGGTAAATTGGGGGGGGAGGGAGGAGAGTCCAGTGAAGTGAGAAGTAAGCTTGTAGCGTTGCCAACCCAGATGCAAGGTCCCGTTCCACACAAAGCTAAGGGAGAAGTCTGGTTCCCACGCTGGGCATGGGGGTGGGGAAAGGGCCCTCCTGGACCTAACACATTTAACACTAAGAAGAAAGAAGCCTCAGGGAAATGGGTTGATTCAGCCAAGGACGAGTCATCAGGGACGAGTCATCAGGGACGTTTACCAGCTCTTTCTTTTTTTAAACTCATTCATTGTATTGCCAAATTTAAAGCAACACCCTTTCGGTATTTATCTGTGTTTAAACATGGGCTCAGGTAGCAGGCAAACAGCTCAGGTGGCTGAAGGGCCAGATCACTGACAAGCCAGTGCCTCTGTCTGCCACGTGGTCTCTACAGGGGAGGGGAGGCAGAATCTGGCTCCAAGCAGCTGCCGACCTTAGAGTGACCTCAGCCCCTCTCCCCTCCCCCAGCATGAGAAGGCCTCAGGCCATAAGCTTGGAGTCCAAGCCCACAAACCCCGGACTCCAAGTAATATGTGAGGAGCCGGGACACACGGGGACACACGGGATGGCCAGACAGCCAGGCTGGGAGGAGGTGCTTCTCCTCTCTCAGATGCATCCCTGGTGGCTGCAGCCAGCTCAGACTTTGGAGCAGCATCCAGCCGCCAGGTCCCAGCCACTGGGTCCCAGACGTGGGGAACCAGGGAGCATTGGGAGCATCGGAGGGGTGGAACCAGGCTCTGCGCCAAGTGTGGGCCTCCCACTTCCTCAAGTCCAAGTTTCTCATACATGTGAGGCTTGTGATAAATGACATTCCAATGTCAGTATTTTATTCGTATATCCTCGTTTAATAAATCCTCGCTTCACATGTATTAACATTTAACATACACTAAAGTATAATGAGGACAAACGAAATGATCTGACACGAGTATAGGCTGAATTGTGTCCCCACCCCTGCACATCCATATGTTGAAGCCATAACCCCCAATGCCTCAGAATGCGACCGGAGATAGAGCTTTTAAAGAGGTGATTAAGTTAAAATGATGCCATCAGGGTGGGCCCTAATCCGATGGGACTGGTGCCCTGAGAGGAGGTTAAGACACAGACACGCACACAGGGAAGGCCATGTGAGGACGCGCGCAGGAGACAACCATCCTCGGGCCAAGGAGAGGGGCCTGGGGAGAAACGAACCCGGTGGTACTCGGATCCTAGGCTTCCCGCCTCCTGGACTGTGAGAAAATGAATATCCACTGTTTTAGTTGCCCGTCGACGGTATTTTGTTAGGGCAGCCCCAGCAAACTAATATAGATATTAAAAGGGGCTGTTCTACTTGGAAAGGTTGTCCAGCACTGTCCCCACATGTGGAGTTAAGGAGTCCCACGGCGGAGGCTGCCGAGGCTCGTGGGCTGGTCAGCTCCCACCATCCCAGGTGCCTGTGTCCATACTTGGGCACTGACGTTCTTGGTTCTGAGATGTTGCCCTTGGTTGGTGTATCGTCAGCCTTTAGTCGCCATCCAGGCTCACAGAGCTCGTGGAAGGCTGCAGACAGGATGGAAGGAAGCCAAGACTGTAGCCAGGACCCCAGGTGACCACTGACCGCCCACAGGCCCTGCCGGGTCTGCCCCACAGCGCAGATGCCTCCGCGGCTGCCACCAGAATGGCTTCTTGTGGGCTTTGCTTCTCACCATCACCCTCTCACTCCCTGAGTCAGACTCTGGGGGGCCTGAGCCCAGGCCACACACTTGAGCCCTAATGGCAGGGTTGGCGGGGAAAGGGAGCAGTCAGTGATTTCTGCTTCTTCACCAGGACGTTCTGTGCTCTGCCTCCTTCCACCTCCGTCCATAAGACGGAGCATTTCCTGAGTGCAGGGATGCTGGGCAGCCAACATAATCACCAATGTCCTCTAACACTGGGACGCATGTGCACGCACACGTGCACGGACAGAACAGGGCTGCAAGTGACCTCAGATGAGCAGAGCAGCTAAGGGAACTGACCTTGGCGTCACACCACAACTTACTTACTCGCTTTCCTTCCCGGCCGTGGGCAACCTGTCTGAGCTTCAGTTTTCTCATCTGTAAATGGGGATAACAACACCCACCTCATGAAGTGGTAGCCATTACTGTTATTGTCGTTGATGTTATTATTAGAAATATCCTGACAGCCATGTTGTAACACATCTATCCTGGACTCCAGGCCTAACTACAAGATACGATGAGATCGACCTTCCAGGTTTTTCACCTGTCTCTCTGGACGCAGGTGGTCAGACCAGCTTTTCACCTGTGTCCTAATAGAGCGTTCAAAATGCAGGTGCCTTTAAAAGGAATAACTTAAGCTCCAAGCATAAGCTTTTTATTGCCATTTTATCCTATGGTGCAATGGCCTTCCAAGCATTTTTTTTTTTTCTAAAAGCGATGGCTATTGGGTGTGCTCAAAGTCCTTTATAGCTCTAACCTTCAGAAAAATAGAGGGAGAAGAGAATTAAAAGACTAAGATCAAGTAAAACAATTGTGTTCCCACTGGAATTTATAAGGAGATAGAGTTTGGCAGTGGGAGAGCTGGAGGGGTGGACCAGAGGCTGGTTTTATTAACAAGCAGGCCAGTTACGAGGAGTCACTGGAGTGTGTTGACATAACATCACGACGGGTGGGCACTGAGGCACAGACTGACCCGGCATGTGTGCAGGCGCAGTGTGTGCCCAGCCAGCGCTCACGGCATTCTTCCGTATGGGTTCTTCACCGCAGTCCTCCCGTAACTTTCATTAAAAGATATTGCTGCTCATGGAGATCCTGAGACACATAGATCCAGAAACCACCAAAGAAAGGTTGGATCCTGTTCAATAGACTTTAATACAAAGTGTATCGCAGTATGTTCTAATTCTTGAAAACTTAGGGGTGGATGAGTGAAGGAAACAGCAATTCTCTATCAACCGCAACGTTTAACAGAGCAGAATACGCTGTTCTTCTGACTATTCAAATAGTTACCTGATTAATAATAATAATAGTTATGCAAAAGTTTCCACTTCTGACTTTTCCACTTCTGACTTTTCCTTCCTTTCTTTCTTTTTCTTTCTTTCTTTCTTTCTTTCTTTCTTTCTTTCTTTCTTTCTTTCTTTCTTTCTTTCTTTCTTTCTTTCTTTCTTTCTTTCTTTCTTTCTTTCTTTCTTTCTTTCTTTCTTTCTTTCTTTCTTTCTTTCTTTCTTTCTTTCTTTCTTTCTTTCTTTCTTTCTTTCTTTCTTTCTTTCTTTCTTTCTTTCTTTCTTTCTTTCTTTCTTTCTTTCTTTCTTTCTTTCTTTCTTTCTTTCTTTCTTTCTTTCTTTCTTTCTTTCTTTCTTTTCTTCCTTCCTTCCTTCTCTCTCTTTCTCTCTCTCCTTCTCTCCCTCTCTCTCTCTCTTTCTTTTTTTTTGTTCCTTGGGGAAAAATAAGTACAATTTCTGATTTACATCACATTGGGAAGAACTTACCTAAGCTCCAAACCAATATATTTGCACCAAAATTCCTGATTGAGGCAGGATGGTGTGACAAATAGAGACTTACAGAAGGTGTCTTTTCCTTCTGGCACCCCGCTCGATCTTGCTTCAGGGGTACCCTGATGTATTCTTGGATCATTTCTGTGTTTGAACAGAAAGCTCCTGAGTGCCTGATTTACCCAGGCCTCTTGCTTCTTCAGTCATGTTTGACTTAGTCACACCATTGGGATGTGGAAGCAGGAGGAGGGGGGCTGATGGGGACAGGACTGTGGGGATTGGAAAGAGCTGGGAAGAGGAGATGAATTCTGAGCGGAAAGTTTGACGGTCGATCCACATAGTCCACAGATGTCTATTGAGCATTCAGGCATGGTTCTAGCTGCTGGAGGTGCAACAGGGAATGGAACAGACGCCACCCCTGCCCTCACAGTAGGTATGTGGTTTCAGGTTATTTCAGGCCGTAAGAAAGTTGAGAAAGATGGAGGAGAGAGTGAGTGTGGTGTAAGTGGGTTGCAAGTGGGCTTGTTTTATTTACGTGTTCATTCAATTTCAGCCATTCATTGTGGCATTTATTGTAGCCTTTATTGACCACCTACCATGGGCCAGATGTGTGCAACATATTGGGGTTACAGGGATAACCAGGACCCATTCCTGGCACTTGAGTTCAAAATCTGGGGTGTGGAGGTACAGAGTTTCCAGGACAATATGTCCGAACTCGGGTAAAGGCAGGCTCAGAGGAGGGTGACACAATCCTGCTAGAGTGGGTATGGAAGGCTTCCTAGAGAGAAAAGGGGGCTGTAGGTCTCCATCTCAAAGGACGAACGAGAGCTCGCGAGATAACACGGGGAAGAGAAGAGGATTCCAGGAAGAGGAAAAGGAAGCGATCCACTGGGGCAAGGGAGTCGGGGAAGAAGGCTTTTAGGCAGGAGAGGTCTGATGGTGGAGAGCCTCCGTGGGAAATCTGGCTTTAATTTAATCGGAGACATGATGGGGGCCACGGCCAGGTTCAGGGAGTAACTTGATGAAAATTACATTTGAGGTCGATAACTTCTTTGTGCTTATTCAGGATCACATCCTTAAACATCAAATGCCTATTAGCAGAGTAATTAAGGCCCTTAATAGACAGGACCATGATTTGCTGGGTTTTTGAAGACTTAGAGGCTGGGGAACAATAGTACAAAAAAAATATTGATTGAGTTTAGGTTTGCCAAGAAATTCGAGAATCTGCACTTTCTTAATAAAAGTGAAATGAAAATAATTTTTTAGGAAAACGAACACTAAGGCACTGATGACTATAATAAATTAGAAATCCTTTGTCCACAGCCACTTCCTGTTGAGAAGAGATTAAACATTACCCTAATTGGGAAGGAAATTATTAATAGCTGCTACTTATTTATAGCCATTTATTGCCCGTCTCTGGGGAGGAGAAATGTGTAGAGAGGTGCAAGTGCAGGTGGCTTTGACGAGCATCAGCCATGCCT